TAAGGCTCAGCCAACTTCCTCCTCCAGACATTCCTGTTTCTGACTATCCTTAGAAAGAAGCAAGGCAGCTAATTCAAAATCTCATTCATATGTACAGGAGCCACCAGACTTGTAGGGACAGTCTCACCATCCCATTTTCCTGACTCAACAAATTACTGCAGACAAGCTCAGCCATACATCCATATATATCCATACATATGCTCTTAGCTCACAGCAAATGTGAGGTAATGTCACACAAACTCAATCCCCTAATGACAGACAGAAAATCTGAAACTTCTGACACATGCAATTGAAAGAAAGGAAATTTAAGACTGGTCATAGATACGGCTTGGGTGGAGACAAAGCCTGATCTACAAAATCTGCATTAAGCGAGCTGGAATTCCCATTCCATACAAGCCTGATTCTTTCTTATAGTCAGCACCAAAGTCACATCAGCTTAGGAATGGATCACATAACCTTGTCTGAGGCTCAATGCCAGCAATTTGGATTTGCTTGAGTATGACCTTTCCCTCCTTCTGCAGCAAAATCTCCTAAAAAAACTCCCTTTCAAGAAACTTTTGGCTGCAAAATTAACTCTAATGGGACTCCTTGAAGAGATGGAACCACCTCCACTTCAACTTCAGCATCTTGAGGCTCAGACTTTTCTTTGAAAGCGAGGATATTCAATGCACATGCTGCCAAAGAAGATTTGCTGAGGACAACAACCTCCTCATCTGCCCAGTCAGCAGCTTGGATGGTGGGTGTTCATCTCTGCTGTTTCAGTGAGGAGCACATCACTGCAGCTCACATTATCACTGAAATGGATTCATGCAGAGATGTTTGACACTGATGTGGAAGGGCTGGGGCACACATTATTTTCTGCTGACTTGCCAGAGCTCATCTCCTGGTGCCTCTAGGCCCAGACATGCAAAGTCTAAACTGCTGAAATATGGGGGTAAATACTGCCAGAGCTTGAACTCATACATAAGCATCACTTGATTCTAATGGCATTTATACCATAGTTTGTAGGATTATAGAATCACAGAATGGTTTGGGTTGGAAGGGACATTAAAGATCTTATAATTCCAACCCCCTGCCATGGGCAGGGACACCTTTCACTAGACCAGGTTCCACTCAGAGCTCCGTCCAGCCTGGTCTTGTGCACTCAGGATGTGCTGAGAATTCAGACACAATTCTGCAGACACTTCCTCCATTTTGATACAATTTGCTGTACAATACAGCTTGTTTATTTTAGAAAAAATCCTTCAGTTAGCACAATTCTACCCAAGAAGGAGCATGTGGGCCCTCTTCTCTCTTAGGCCCTGGAAATATCAAGAAACAACGTTTTTAAGAATTTCAGAAACTCTGTTTCCACAGCAGTGTCTGCATTTTAAAACTTTGATGGCCATTTATTACTTACAAGAGCATTTAAAAAGGTAAATTTCATATCTCAATAACCTGTATGTTGATTGCTAAGAGTTCATTTGGAGATGTGGTTTGAAGATTTTTAATATGAATTTGGAAGAGAATGCCCTAAAAACATAAAGGCAAGTTTCTCCCAGTCTTTTGTAGGGGTAAAACACTATTATGCTGTGATTTCAAGCCAATAAAGGCAGTAAGGAATATGAAATAAGTATGCCTTAAATTCTGAAAATCATCTCTGACTCGAAGCTCACGTTTGAGTGGCAGACTGTCATATCATGGCCAGTCCCAACCCATGAATTCCTACATGCTTGTGGCAGCACATATTTTATGCTTCTCTCTGTCCTGACACCCCACAATTTCCCATTTGCGTGACATTTTACTGCCTCTTCATTTTATACCAGGAAGAAATGCTGATGGATTGGCATCACATCCAAAACAGAAACTGGCATCGTTCTCAGACTCACGCGATTTACAGCAACTGCTAAGTAAACTGGGATACTTTTTTTAGTTCCTACTCCTCCTTTTCTAAAAATAAATCTTAAGAAAATACAATCCCAAAGGCCTAACAGGCACACTTTTACAGATGGCAGCAGTGGGTCATAAATGACAGATTTTCTTGATACTATTTATGAGAGCCAAATACACTGAACATATTATGAGCCATTTGTAACGTTCTTCAGCAGAACAGTCGGCCAAGAGACAGAGCTGAAAGCCTGTTGCAACAAAAGGTATCAAAGTGAGGAGGAGAACAGTATCTATAATTACTACTCCAGTGATAAAACAAGCATAGTACAGCAGATGGGTTTAACACAAGATCACTATTAAATAAAACAGTGGCTCCAATACCAAGGAATGAATATTCAAGAGGGAGTGAATTAAGTAAAAGCATATAAAGGCAGCAAACAGCTCAGTTAACCTAGAAGTAATGTGTAACTCTAACCAAAGAGATCAAACCCCACACAATTCTTCATGTTGGTTGAACAGCCCTTCTGCTCACAATTAGGTATTAATCAACACAAATGACAGGACTGGACATACTGATGGCATAGGAACCTGGCCATGTGATACTCTTAAAAAAAGGTGTAAAACTCAAATCCAAAACAAACCCAAACCCTAACAATATCAATTGACAGAGCTTTTTCACTTACCGCTTAGAAACTTCTCAGTTCGTCATCAGAAACACACTCTAATTCATCTTTTTGGCAGCTTCATAGTTGCAGAACGTTGTTTGACAAAACAGGAGCCAAGTTACAATCTAAAAAAGGGTTTCTTTTCACTTTTAGAAGTTTTGAAAAATATTTAATGGTCAAAAGTAAGGCTGGAATTAATTAAAGTGACTAAGGCTGTACCACAGAGTGTGGAGCTGCAATGTTCATGCTTCAGAGCAGGGCTCCAGCTCTCAGTGGGTTTGGAAGCAGCAAAAAGGATGGCATCATTAACAACGCATTTTGAATTTTTTTTTTTTTTTTTGCCAACTTGCAGTGTTTTTTAAATTAAATGTTTCTGTAATTTTGGTATTATCTATATAATATCTTCTTTAGCTGAGACTCAGCACTTCAAAGACACATTTCAAAAGCTTGAGACTCACCTACTCAGCTTTGTGAGATTATTTAAACTATGCTATAACAAAAAAGGAGAGGAAAAACAGTAGTTACAGCAGAAGGCACAAATGCAGAACCAATATATACCATTGCAATATAATTTCAGGGTAGAAAGGCATTGAACATCATGAAAGATTAAACCTAAAATACTCAAGCACTTTCTCGGTGATATTTTCTCACTGAAAATACCCAAACACTATGACCCATCCATACCCCCCTGGACTGAGGCTGCACCAGACAAATCCCTTTGAGAATGCTGTGACTGGAAACAAAAATCATTCCCCTGTGACTCTCCTCAGTTGCCTGGACTCCCATCGGGTTGGCTGAAGTATCAGGAAAACAGATGAGTGGGGCCTGGTAAACTACACAAGATTTAAAAGTTATTTTTAAAATCCACAGAAAAATTAACAGGTTTTCAACCTTAAAAGTCGTTCTACATTTTAAGAACTAAGAGATGGGAGATATAGTCTTGGTGATGTGTACTTATATGTATGTATACAAAAGCACACACCTATAAGCACACACACACACACATATATATATATGGCACCAATAATTTCAACAACAGCAACTGAATAGTTGCTCCTTGTCCTGATTTTTATGTGGCCACACATGCCAATGTGTTATGAAGAATCAATTATATTAACCTCAGACATAGTTACAAGCCCTGCTTCACCTAAAACTTTAGTTTCTGACTATTTTGGAGAAGAAAACTTTATACTGGAAAACTGGGAACCTTTGCTTTTAAGGCATGTCAAATGATTAATAAATATTTAATGCGTGATTAATACATAATTAGCGGATGGCCCTTGGCAACTGTAACCTACAGTTTACTAATTTAGACAGGGATAAGCAAGTAGAATTAAGGTGTAGTTCCTCCTTTATCACTACACTCGCATGCATGCTTTGTATGGAAAACTTTATTTGATAATAAAAATAGCATTCACAGACTTTCTCCTTCTTTGTTGCTACATCATATACATAGTGTCTGTTCCAAGGAAAGAAGCTCGTACTGGGTAAGTCCACATCTACTCATACTAGTGTTATGTATAAACCCAATTAAGTCAAATAAAGCTATGAACAATGTAGTATTTATATATGCATAGTGTTTTATAAAAAAGATTGGCCCACATACTGCTTTTCATCAACACAGAAAGAGCATTGTCTATAGCACGTTGCAAGAAATGATGACTGGAGAATATAGACTGCATACAAGTGCTTAATAATACATAAGCAGGCCCACCATGAAGAAAGAAATGATATTCAAACCAACAAAAGCTTTAGAATTACTTATACAGTCTCCCATTTTAAAACCTCTTTACATACCTGATTCAGTTTACATTAAAATATATCCCCTGAATCAATTTGTTCCATTTTCAGAAATATAAACACTTAATCACATTCCTCACAGCTAAATTTTGTCATAAATCCTCTTTTATACAAGAAAAAGGCAACAGTTTTGTGTTTTTTTTCCAACAGGCTCTATTAATTACAATTTAAACTGTACACACAATGATTGGCCATCTTCTTTCTTGGTTTTGTTTTTACAGTACCATGGCAACAACAGTGATAGACTTGCAATGGTTTTGTGTTCATATGGAGGATGTGAGTCAGTATACATGTACACAGCAATGCACTGTAAAAAGCAGCAGTTTACTTTAGTGGTCCAACAGTAACGGCAAACATTTTGGCTCAGCTAGGCAGTAATCCATTACATCTTATACCAATGCTACAGCAGACTTACCACACAACTTGCAAATTTAAAAATACAACTTAGAAACTTGCAGGTTTCCCTTTCGCTGCTGTTCTTAGACTCAAATTTACAGCATACAACCAGTACAGATAGGCCTCTACAACCAGGCTGTCCCACTGATTGCCTCTTTTTGCCTGTGTTTTTTCCCTTGGATTTTTTCTTTTTTTTTTTTTTTTTTTTTTTTTTTTTTTTTTTTTTTTTTTTTTTTTTTTTTTTTTTTTTTTTTTTTTTTTATTTTTATCCTTTTCAGCAAGTGCACTCCTTTTGTCTCAGTAAGGATGAACCAGTAAAACAAAAAAGAACCCCTCCCTTTAAATACAGAGTGATAAGAAGAGAGAGCTTTTGGAATTTGGCAAAATCAAGAAAAGCCCACTGGTTTTTTTGCCTGAGCAGAAGGAATACACCTACTCCGAGAGGGAGGACTGAGCTCCCACCGCATTGTGCCTTGTCCCAGAAACCCGATCCCTTCCCTTGCTTCCAAGCAGACACACAATACCATGCATGCTGGGGTTGCTGTCCATATACAGCTAGAAGATGAGCAGGGCTGCGGCGGCTGCCTTAATGATATATCGTTACATGTTGCCGAGGCTAATGAGAGATCAACAGTCTACAGCAGCGTGTGACACAGGCATGGTGGTGACCAGTCCTTCTGCCTCTGTGCATTCTGTCGAGGGGGCCTGAAAGTATAAACTGTTCACGGAACAAACTAGAAATTCCTCATCGTAAATCATCTTGTGCTGTGTGGGTTTGTATTTATTTATTTATTTTTTTAATTATTTATTATTATTATAAATATCCTTCATTGAAACAGTAGTCTCTTCAAACAGTTCTTGCAATTTTAGGAACATTTGTCTCTTTCTGTTTTAATTCCTTCAGCAGGAGTGCTCCATTCCTACTGAGATGAACAATTTTCTTCCTTCCCCACCCCCAACCCTTAAAAAATTTTCAACATACAGTGTAGCAGTAAGTCACTAGAGAACAGTCTGGATCAAATTATTCAAACTTGGTCATAAAATCCTTTGCCTATATTATATTACCGGCTACCCCCACTTACTATAATGGGGAGGGGGGAAAGTAGCCCAATTAAGGAATTCATTTTTAAGAAATCTACAAAGAATGTAGAAACAAAATTTTATAATCCTTTAGGACCAACATTTGGCAAGTAATTAAAAAAAAAAAGAATACACTGAAAAATACTTTCTTTAATATTATACATCAGGCACAACACTTTTTTTTTTTTTTTTTGTCATAAGATTTCATCTGCATAAAAGGTTTGTAGGATCAGCAGGTGCCGGATGTCTCCTCGCCTGCGAAAGCCAGATGGTCTCAGCTCCCGCACTCTCTCCTCTGCTCCCATGGTGTGGGGAAGGCGACGGGGACCCCAGGGAGCCCCTCAGATGCTGAGGTCGGTGCTGCACTCCTTGTAGGGCCGCCTGCGCTGCTCGGGCGGGTGCCTGCGGCTCGGCTCGTGCTTCCAGCTGGGCTCTTCCCTCTCCCGGTGGCCGAATCGTTCCTCCCTGAGCCGTCTGTCGGGTGACCTCTCCCTCCGCCGGTCGGAGGACTTGGCCCGTCGGTCCAGGGAGTTCTCTCTTCTCCGCTCGGGTGACCTTCTGGGCTCCGTGAGTCTCTCCAGCGACCGCCGCCGCCGGCCAGGCGACCGTTCTCTGCGCCTCTCAGGGGAGAGGTCCCTCCTCCTCTCGTGCCGCTCCCGCCTCTCCAAAGTGTTGTCGGCACTCCTTGTCCCTTCCCTCCGCTTTTCGGGAGACCTCCTCTTCTGCCCGTTCACCACCGCCCTCTCTGGCTGCCTCTCGTGCCTCCTCTCCGGCGACCTCTCCATCCTCCTGCCTGGCACGTGGTCGTTGGTTTTAGAAGTCCCATTCCAAGTGTGGTGTTCATTGGGATGTCTGCTAAACTCTCTGCTGCCTTTTAGGTCTCTAACGTAAGTCCGCTTGTCCCCATGTTGTGATGATTTGTGAAGGTCTGGTGGATAACTGGACTCCGATGATGGGTGCTGCCGTCGGTCGGATGGCACGGGTTTCATTTCCGATACATTTTGTGAACCTGTGGCAGGACTGTTCCTGTCACTGCTGGGGTCTGAAAGAAAATAACAGCAAAGCGTTTGGTACCGATGCCTTCCGGGGCGCCGTGACACCACTTAGCACTCTTCAGACTTCATTAGTGACAAAAACAAACAACTGTTAAAGCAGTCAGCGAAGGCTAACCCAAGCTTTTGTTAATTTAACTGTGAACAAGGAGAGTTACAGGTTAGTACTGGTGCTGCTCTGATTGTTAGCCATGTTTTGGTCCAAGCTGATATCATCTTTATGCTCTTCTGGGCACAGGGCATTTTACATTTTCCCCAAGCCCAATTTGTAACGTTTCGGTTACACTACTTTCTTTCCAGTGGAAAAAAAAAATATTATAGTTTGGGTTGTTGGCTGGTTTTTTAAATAGTTTCCAATAAAGAAGGCCTTTAGGAAACAATTTGTGCTTTTTAAGTCATTGTTAAGAACTGCCTTCCAGGTGTGGGAGGCCATGGTTCAAATAGCAGAAAATGTACAGAAAATAGAATTGATTATTAAGTTTTCACGTTGTAAAATAACATTTTGAAGGTGCGAGAATTAGACTGCAATAATACAATTTCCATTTCATTTAAAACATCACTTAATCTCACTTAGTTCTACCACGTTACGAGAAGTCCTAGGGTAGACTTTGGTTTTGCCACAATGATTCAAACAACGATGACAGAAGTTATGATTTTTTCATATCAAAGCAATGGAAAGATATTGTAACATGTACGATGGCTTTGATTCAAATCTAATCTCCAGTTCATTATTTTTTATGTAGTATTTGAGGTAAAATAGAGCCGAGCTACTTCTGCGAGACAAACTGCAAAGCAGAAGTAGAAAAACAACCCTCAAACTAAACCCCAGCCCTGCGCTGCAGCTAAGCTACAATTACTCCTGTCATTTGTAACGCATGTTTATGAATGATTCATTACAAACATGAAAAACATTAAAGTAGCTGCGCTGTCTTAATGCAAGTGCTGCTTTTATTTGTTTATTTTTTTTCTTTTTTAGAAGTAACTCCTGCTTGGCAGCTCGGCTGCCTTTAGCCACTCCCTGCCGCTTGCCCCCAGACACCCACCTTGAGGTGGACTGTCCTGATGGCAACGACTGAACACCCTCACAAACACTTGTGGAGACAAACTTTTTTCCCCCCTCTTTCTCTCCTTTTTGTCTTCCCTCCCCCAAGACAAACTCTCTACACGCTCATTCCTCCTGCCACCATGCCAAGCATCTCCCATTCGATGGCATTTCCATTCCTGAGCTTGGGAGGGTCGGTGTGTGCGTGTGAACTTTGTGATTTCCAGGTGAACCCTCCGTTGCGACTCAACGTGTGGGTATTTTCGCTTATGAGCATTTTCAGGCTTTTCCTTGGCTGTAAGCATGTGGCTTGCAGCAACCTGGCTATCACACAAGATACAAAAGCGAGGCTTAAACGTGTCCTGTGGTGTGTGTACTTACAATTCGGGGGACGCAGGGTGTTCGGGATGAATTGCTGTACATACAGAATATAGCGAAGCGGAAAGCAATGTGAGGGAATTAGGCCACAGCACAAAAACACCTAATATTGATTTTAGCTACAAACCGTAGTTTGATTATGGCCCATAAGGTAGAAGCAAGACTCCCCGAGCTTGTCATTTCTCATACATGCAGCGATATTAGGAGGTATCATCGCTGAGGAAGGAAGAGCCCAGCACCAAGAAAAGTGAGAGAAAGAGAAAGAGAAAAGTAGAAAATTTAGATTCCCTATAACAAAGATGAAAGAAAGAAAAATCTTCATATTTTATCTTAGAATAAAGAAAGTTTATTTTTCCAGTCAGATTGTCTAGGCTTCACCCAAATATAAGGCTGCAAAGACAGCAGTTGTTATTATTGTGACATAAAGAGACATCTAAGAGGTGATTCAATAACCCAGACAACAAGAGCATCCATTCTAAAAGACAGCTGGAACAGTGACACAGAATGTCATAGAAAAAACATTAACAATCAAACAACAACGAAAAATAAAGTCCACCAGAGACCACAACATTAAAAATAAGTACAAAACTCATTACAAAAATATACAGCCTCATAGAGAAGCACGTTCCAATTGAGTCAGAAAAATATTGGAACTTAACATTATTAGAGGAACCATTTGCGACTGCAGCGAACAGAACAAAGAGAGGAAGGAGTCCCAAATGTTACAAGGATATTCTTTACAGTAGTGCAACCCCTGTATATTAAATCCTTGCTTGGAGAACAAACTTTTAGTGGTTAGCATTAGCCAAAAGAAAATTGGTGGTGGATTTCCATCCTCAGTGCAACAGACATATGCTTTGAGAAGTGAAGCACTTAATTTACAGGGTATTTATGCAGTCTAGCATATGATACAGTACTGTACATCCAAAGGAGCATAGGAAAAGACAAAAGTAGAAAGAACATTACAGAATTTCAGTGCCATCATTGAACTTTCTGGTGTGCTATTTATATTACAGAAGTGTAAACCCACAACTTCCCTTCCATATCGTTAAACACTTCAATTGTTTGTTGTTTATACTCCGAATTGGTCATTTTAAGTTAAGAAACCCTCAAACAAGGTACAGTAAATGAAAAGAAAATTTAGTTCATAAATTGTGCAGAAGGGTTTTGATTCTGGTGTTAGGACATGGAGAGAATGATAAACACAGAACTTACTGACACAGAAATAACCCAAAGAAGGGGAGGAAAGTATAAAGGACATCCCTTCAATCATCAGTTTCTATAGAAACCTCAAAGACCTTTGGTTGGGAGTAGCCCTCCATCGAGGGCACAATATTTGACAATTATCTCAAATAAATAAGACATAATTATAATATTAAATAGTGTGCTAAGTTAAGCCACCCAGCAATCCAACCTCCAGGGGAAGAAAAGGAAATCTAATGCAATTCTTAGTAAGAAACAAGGACTGACTGTTTCCCCCAAGACACACACGAGAGCACCTTTTCATAACCTCCTCACCTTTTCAGACCTTACAAATTAACTAGTTGAAACCAGCAGACAGTTTAAGGGGGGAGAAAAGGGCTCAGGAGGCCAAATCAATATACTTTTGCAGTAAAGCTTTTTTTTTTCCTTCTTTTTCTTAAATAACTTTATAAATATTTACATAAATATTAAGGAAAGGCAAAAATCTCATAAGCCATCTCGGCATTCATGTCTATGGATACAGACAGGAACTAAGAGAAAAACCTAACCAAACAAAAAAAATTAAAAAAAAAAATCACTGCTTCAGAATAGTAACTCGGGATCCCAGTTTTTGCATTGATTAGAAGTAGAGACCTATTTGAAACAACAATTCAGCCGCTGAGAAACAGTTTGGCACAGTTCAATGACATTCCTTGTTTGGCTGGACAAGACAATAAGGTTTTTTGTTTTGTTTTCCTCTCTGATCACCAAAAAATACTGCTATGATGATCTTGCCTTACACTGTGCCCCAAGTCCATGGAAGCAAGCAAAGGATGAAATGTGTAGAAAATTCAGCACAAGCGAGGCAATTATATGTTGCAAAGGTTGGTAAGACACTGGTGAGAAAGGAAAATAAAAAAGAATTCCCGCTTCAGATCTTGAGACAAATCATTCATGGAGTGATGCCAGGGAAGAAAGGAATGTTTTCATAGTTTGACCCACCATATTCTGGGACAGAGCCATCTCCACGTTTCAGAAACAGGCGGACCTTGCGGCCACCATTTTTAATCAGTTCGATGGCCCGAGCGTGCTTCATGTTCTTGGTGGTTTCTCCATTGATCTCTAAGATTTCATCACCAATCTGCCAATGTAATAAAAGAGCCTAAGATTAGAAGCGAGTCCCCAGAAGGGCCCCCCCTCCAGCACATCACAAGACAATGGCCACAGCAAAGGTGGAATAACTATGCACCACGTGAAGCTAAATAAGCCCAACTCCTTCCAGTAACAGTCCACAAAAAACAGTGTGCTGGGGCCTGGGAGACATGAAGGTGATGGGGAAAGCTTGAGGTATCAAAATATTACACTGCTGTTCTGCAAAACTACACTGCAAAACTGTATGGCTCAATAGTAAGAGCAGTGTTAGAACTGCTGCTATTCTACTTAGTTTTGATTATTTGTAAAGTCTTTAAAGTGGTTGGTTGTTTCACAGTCTACTACAACTGGGATGTTCACAGAGCTTTCTCAGGGCTGTTTCTCACTTGGATATTGACACTACTATGACCTAGCAAAGCTGCTTTTGTAAATATAATCATTTATCAGGAAAGAAAAGAGGGCTTGGAAGAGGTTGTCAAAGCATTGACTTCCACAGGGCAGCACAGACTTTTCATCATATTTTCATATTTTTCAGCAAAATTTTTGAATCCATAGACCTACCCCTAGCAAAAGAATTTTGCAAACGCCCTTCACATGACTTATCTGGAGAAGAAGAAGATGTATGCGGGAAAGTTATAATGCATTCTCTAACAGAGGAGCAAGGAATACATAAAACGTGGCAATTTAATTTTTTAGTAGGCATTTTGTAACATATGCCCTTGCTATATAACATTTATAATTCAGCTGATATGTGAAGTTCACAGTTAATGCTAATCAAAAACTGCATTGTAATTTTGTAACCCGTGGGCCATATACATTCTCTGTCCCTACTCTGCCCAGTAGCAGACAGACTGTGGCTATTACATTTTCACTGCTACGTGTATCCATGTTAGGCTTTAAAAGACAGATCATGTATTAGAATCTGAAAAGCAGGATTGGAAGAAGGGGGTAAAGTCTTCCAATGAACACAACACTGCTACAGACTGCACACAAAGAGTGACAGATGCCATCGACAGAAGTAAATGGGAACCACTTTCAGTTAGCATTTAATTTCCCTTTTAGCTGGCACAGCAGAAGGGAGAAGTGGGGAAGTCAGCTAATTCCAAAGAAATGTGGTTTTAAAATCAGTTTGTGCATACCCTCATTTTCCCACATCTCTCAGCTGGACCATCCTCAGCGAGCCTCAACACGTACAGATCCATATTATACTCCCGGCCACCTCGCAGGCTGAAGCCAAAACCTTTGGCTCCTCTTTCCAGCTCAACAGTGTAGAAGTCTTGGTCCTGCTGGAGAGAAGACAACACCCAATTGAACAGAAAGTCAAATACTGCTCTACTCTCACTTTGAAATTATTCAACCAACGAACGTTATTATTTTTGTTACTTCTGTTACACGACACCTCCTGTGCCCAGGGCAGAAAGGCCTTTTTCTGGAGGGTGGTTAAGAGTTCTACCAACTGCACAGAAGGTGAGGGCAACCCCACTTCCAGTGCCAGGCTTCAGTGAAATGTCTAACGGTACCTGGGGTGAGTGTGTGCCGTGGTGCTGGCTTTTCCTTTTTGTTATCACATCATCTATTCCTTTGCAAGAAGCTCAGAAGCCTGGGCATTGTTTTCCACAAATGCTATTATGGGGATGTTTTGAAGCCCCTAATAGAAGAGCTTACTTCTGGGATGGCCAGTGGCAAGGAAAGTTAACAGTGAGATAGATAATCTCTCTAATAAGATGCCATCTGTGCGAGCTGGAACACTCCAGCCATCGCCCCTTATTAAGTTTTCCTCTTTTTCGTCCTCTGAATTTATCATTTGCACACAACAATACTTTCTGGAGAGGCCCCTCACAATATACAATTCCATAAACAAACACATAAATTATTACTGCCCTAAAAATGTCAGCTTTTTTCCTTTATTTTTTCTTCCTCAAAGTCTTGATGAGAATGTGTTGGAAATGTTTCTCAGCTGAAACAACAGCAACACATATTAAGAAACTAATCAGCAAATTCCTCTTTTTTTTTTTTTTTTTTGAGCAAACAGGCTGAGGGAGAACAGCTTCTCAGTAGGAATTTTCAAGGGAAATATTTGAACACAGCCAGCCCTCAAGCAGATTGGAAACAACAGTCTGTGGTAAACAAAACAATTAGAGAGGTGTTCCTTACCTGTGCTGCTTGGGGTGGTTTGAAATCAAACTGGGATTCCTGCTTTGGTTTGGTGTTGTTCCTGCTGTAATGAATGAGAAAAAGAGGGAGAGAAGAAAAATACAGCTCATGGGATGTGAAAGTAATCAAGGAGTAATTAAAGAGAGAGCATGTCAACGTGCTCTCCTCAAGGAAAACAATCTGACCTGGTCTCCTGTGGTATTTGCTGAGGAGTATGTGTGGTTGTGATTGTAGCAATTTTTTCTGCATTGGTCAATAAAGTAGCATTGGAGGATTCTGCAAAATAGATTTTGGTTTTCATTATGAGGGAAGACCATTGGCTATTCACTGAAAGAAAAAAGTTATGCAAAGGCATTTCACTGGAAATCATCATTATGTTGTTTTTAAAGAACTTGAGATGGGCTCAAATTTCTCAATTCCCCAAATTAACAGAGTAATTATGTACATGAAACTGTACACTCATTTGGAAAATGAACAAACAAAAAAAAATCGGGAAATCTGGATTGGAAACTCCTCTGATCCTTAGACACACTCAGAATGATGACTAACTTATGGAGGAAAGGTTGAACAATGTTTTGTTTGTTATCTAATGACATAAATTCCAATCATCAAAGTCTCTATATATGATAGGTTGGCTGGATGAATTTTACAGTAGCTATAACTATTCCAGGGATTATAAGCTTATCAGTCCCTTCCTCCATCAGAAACTGAAATCTTCTGTAGAATTGAGATGTGGCTTTTATCTAATACTTCACAAGGTGATATTGAATGTGGCTAAAACCCAAACCTACTGAAATCTGCCTCTGAAATACAACCCACTACTGCCTGAGCACTGAAAGCTGCACACAGGACGTAGGAACCACCTGTACCAAAGGCATCAGCTGCTCTGGGTGCCACTTACAAAAGGATGCACAGAGAGAATACAGACAGTAGGAGTAACTCCTAAACTCAAATTCTGCCACAGCAAAAGGCTCTCAGCTCAACATCAGTCTGTGAAAATGCCGTATTTCTCTATGCACAGCAGGAGGTGCTTCAAGGGGAGGTCCTCTCTCCTGCTTCCCATAAATGGGATGGGAGTTGCTGTAGACACAGCTGAAGAGTGGTTACCCAGGAGTCCCTCACAGCATGGCAGGGCAAAATGCTCCCCCTGTCATTCTGGAGCTGTATCACAGACTTCAGTAACACCAGAGTTAACCCCAAACTCATTCAAAATTCTGCCTAAAATTAAGGTCACATAAATGCCAATAGCCAAATACCGGCAACAGACTTTTGGAGGAAAGACCTGGAACTCCTGTGTATTGAACCTAACACCTTTTCCAGAACTGCATATTGTATCAATCCTGAACTGAAATTAGAAACTTTGAAGAGTTTCAAAGGCTGAATTGCTCCAGAGTTCAGCAGTTCCTGAAAACACCCTTTCCCTCCCATGGGACTTTGAATTCAGAGGAAGTCTCAGTGGTAGGTACATGCTTAACCACACAAATGTTGAACAGCTGGTTGCATACGGAGAATGACGGACACAGTCAACACCCACTCATCAGGCACAGCGTTCCCAGCTAAAGCTACTGCAGTGACAGACCCTTGTCTCTTTGAGGAACAGCTCTGCACAAAGGAGACCCCCACATTGTGTCTATACCCTTTGTAACCAAGAGAGAACCACAGGTGTCAAGTAACTACAAAACACTGACCACGATCCACTTTTCAAGCTCAAAATCTAAACTGAACGCACAATCACTAGGACAGCAGTGACAAAAACTGGATGGAAACATCTGGCTCTCCAACATAAAATTACAAGGTCTTCTACCCTGCCCTTGTTTGCCCCTTAAGCTCCAGGAATCCAGTAATTCATTGTAATGACTGTGGAGAAATCTGCCATATTAAACAGAGTCCAGCTGTAATACAAAACTGCAGCAATGGGAGGGGTTTTGCCTGAATTAAGGAGAGGTGGTGGTCATGGGCTTACTTGGTCCTGGGAGCTTAATTTACTTCTAAAATGGATTTATTTTAATTATGGAGAAATCTAGATAAGGGGAAGGTTTGTCCTTTCTGTAGCTACTTGCATGTCAGGGGAAACTCAGGAAAGGGGAAAGAGAAAAAGAACCATTTAAACAGATGGGTGCAACAAGAACACAGCTCCTTTGCCTGCAGTGGTGTGCTCAAGTTAACATGCCCAAGCCCTCAGCATATGGAGCTGTAACATCCTCCAGACCAGAGCTGGCTTGTGTCCAGTAGTTCAGAGAGCAAGAGAGGCTCCTGGGTCTGCCTGCACCTCTCAGGTTAGGCATGAGCAAAACATACCCTTGTGATGCTGTGCCACTAACAGCTGGCTTGTGTGAGGAAGAGGCATCCCTATGGGTGGTTACACTGTTGAATTTTAAGAAATAATTCTGTTTATTTTGTAAAGATGCCTTGATGTTAAAATCTGACTCCAGCAGAAGAAGGCCCCAAAACACAGTTAAGTGTTCTGTATTCATCCAGAACAAAAGCCTCTGGAATCATCCACAAATATTTGGAGATCAGATGAAGATGGGCTTCAAAGAGAATGCAAGATTCCTACCCTTTAGTAGGTCACACTAATAATACCAAGCAGAGCAACAACACATCTTTGGTACAGATGCATCTTCACACCACTGCACTGCATCTATCTTTAGCCCCCCCTATCCCATGAGTCAGGAGTTGTGCATAATTTTGCTAGTTTTTTAGACACTGGTTCAGGATGCATTCCAACCACCATGCAAAAGTGGAGCAGAACATAGCAAAAATGATCTTTAGCGCAATTACAACTGCATATTCCAAAATCTACATATTTCACTGATTCCTTGCCCTGCTCTGGCCTAAAACAGTCACCAATTAGATGCCCAATCTAAGCTTGTTCTTTCCCAGCATTCTGCATCCTTGCATCAGCTGGAAGCGTGTTAAAGCATCATAATTTCACGACAAATATAATCCTGCAGTGGTCTGTGGCAATTAATTTGTTCAAAACTTATTTCCAAAGCAAAGATTCGTGGTGTTTTTAATAATGTTAGAAGAGATTAGCAGTGTGAGTTTATTGTGAGTCTAGTGATGCGCCTTAGTTTCATGTTTCTCTGACAAGTGGCTTCTGATTTATGCTCCCCCCTCCTTGAAGCACATAGACCATTTATATTTGCCGAAAAAAAGCACTCAAAAGTCAACAAAAAGAAAACAACATATCAAGAAAAGCACACTAAGACATCAAAAAGAAAACAACACTGAGACCAATTTCTTGTGTCTCATGGGGGTTTAGAGCAAACCTCTCAGCAGTTTTCAGAGTGTCGGGTCTTACTGGGTTTTGGAAATTAAAGGCAGGCAATACTATGCAAAGGTGGCAATCTGATTTGGAATTTCAAAGTGACAGTAAATAAATGACTTGAAGATTGCATTGCTATGAGAGTAGAGTTGACCCCTTCCCTAGGGAACACCTTTCCACCTTCTCTAGGAACATGGGATGTCAGTCCCAGGTACGTGTTTCCCTAACCTAAACGTGACATCTGGGACACATAATTGCATGAACAAGACTAGCTGAGCATTCATAACAGGAAGCTTTATTCTTCTCAAAAAAATTTTAAACCATTCAGAAGTTGTTTATTTCTCGGGTGGTTTTGCCTTTAAAGCTCTTCATTTATTTAAAGAGCCACCTTGATTTTTATGAGATACTAAAATACAGGTAATGAACAATTCTTCTCTCACTTTATCTCCCTAAACAGGCATGCACAGGCCAGCTCTGATGTTAGCCTGATTCACAGCCATTTTATTATTCATGAACACCTAATTTGCTGCAAGCAGCAGCGGTTCATATACCATTTGACCTGGTACCTACTAGACAGTAGGAAAATAAAGCCTTTGTGCAAAACAGATCATCCTAAACAGAAACAATTTATAACCAGATCATTTCTCATCCCAGTCTATTTTTATCCTACAGCAAAACACAGCATAATCATGCTCTGTGGGGTAACCAAATCCATGTTTCAGATCAGAAAGTGTAAGAGTTAGCAACTACCCGGTGCTTCTCACTGGAAATCACATCATCAAACGTCTTCATTCTTTTTTACAGCTACTAGGTTCATTTCAGCTATACTTCCTCTGCATTTCTTTCAAACTTAATCACACTTTCTCCACATTTAAATGCAAATAATGTCCTGTACCACTCTAAGGAATGCTCGTTAGCACTGTATCTGAGTCATCAAATCTTATACCCATGGATTTAACTTAAAAGGAGAGCAATGTTAAAAGGTTTCTGCCTAACGAGCTCTCACTATGAACCCATCCATGGCAGAGCAGGACAATAAATAAATAAATACTCAGAATTTAGAAGCACAGAAATTTTAGTTCTGCTGCAGATATTTTACAAGGTTTCTGCTCTGTTCCTATTTGGGGGTCAAGGTAGTCATCAATGTAGTGAAACTGATATATAACACAGATCCTTATTTTTATTAAATACTTCAGTAACCTGAAACCAGTACCAAGTGTCTGCTTATTATTAGGGATCCTGCACATTCCCTCTGATCAGAAACAGTGGGATCCTATCTAGGGTAACTCTTACAATGATCAGCTGCAGGCTCACAGCAGCTCCAGAGCCATCATCATTTAAACAGTCATTTAAAAATGTACTGAGCTCACTCCCAGAGCAACTTACTGAGAATAAAAACAAATCTGCTTTTCAAACAGCTTAAAACATGTCAAAGTGTTTATCCCTTCCTGTTATCTCTTTAGTCTATAGCCTGCTTGTGTCTATACAAAGCTTCAGGACTCCCACATGCTAACAAGCGATTCCCAAATATTCTAAAGCTGCATTATTAACCTAAGGATCAAATCAAAGTGTACCAAGTTATGCATCAAACTCGTGGCAGATCATTTTAAGGAGATACATAGAATTGAATAAATATTTTTTAAATGTCGATTCAGCACCTCCTTGTTTCAAACCATCTATTCCTATAAAAAGGAACAAAAAATAAAGCTTTGGAAGACTCACAGCCTCCCTCACCTCTACCTCCCAAAGCAGGAGCAGAAACTGAGTCCTCCGTGACTTTGCAGCTCCAGCTGACACAAAAAGCCCAGGAACAAAACCAACAGGAGGGTCAGATAAGACAGCAGGAAACATATACTTTACCATCTCCTGGAATGATGCGCAGGGTGACGGTGTTTCCCGCTTCCTTAATGAGGTTGACGATGTCTGAATGCGACTTGTTGGTGATGGAGCACCCATTGACGGCCAAGATCCGGTCGCCTACTTTCAGCTTCCCACAGCGGTCGGCAGGACTCCCTTCAATTATCCGACCTATTTTGTGAGGCATGGCCACACATGCATTTCCCGCTTTTGTATTGGTTTGGGGGTTGTTTTTTTTTTTGTTTGTGTTTTTGGTTTGGTTTTTAATTGTTTACATACGTGGGAATATGGTGAAGGGGAAAAGGAGAAAAAGGGTTGAAAAGGGAAAGAGAAGGTTAAGGGTTAATTAATTAATGCATCAAGCAAAAGTTATTATAGGATAGCTTTGCTGCCAGTGTTCAAAACATTGGCAATCAACTAGTATGAGTGCACAACGCTTTACTTCTTCCACAAAAATGTGTTTTGTTAATCACTTGAAACTCCACCCACCTGGACTTTTGTTAATAAATGGTGAGATTTTAGTTGAGATTCTTATTGACTACAACTGCACTTAGCAGCCCCATCATAACCCAAATCTGATTTTATTTTTGAAGAAAAGGATTGAAACTGTTTGTAGAAAACTCAGCCTTCCTTCTCCAGGATTACATCGGTGTCAGCCTCTGTGGTCCTTCTCTGAGCCAACTGCTGCTCAAGCTTCTGCCAATGTTTTGTTCTTTCTCAGTGTAGAAAGATAAAATCGTTCTAGACCTAGGAGGGAGCACGGCTCCCTTTCTACCACACAGACCCACTCTATCAGCGCTGCACAGGGAAGCAACATGAAACATTTTTCTTCCATCGTGAATAAAGGTACTACCAGGGAAGGCACAGGACCACTACAGATGGGCCAAGACTGACAAAGGCAACCTGTTTGGTGCAGGCATTCACCTCAGCCTCTGTTAACCCTTCCCCCTTTTATGACCTTAGATGGCACCAGGGTGGGAACAGGTAAGGAATAAGGACCTCCTCATTTAAATACCTCTAAAACCACACACAAAACCGTTGAGATGTCTGACACACAGAGCAAGAGCACTTTAGGATGAATGTGTTTTGGAGACAAAATTCTCCTCCTGTTCCTCACAATTGTTTGCTCCAAAAACACAGGGTTGTCCACAACATGCAGAATTGGGACAAAGAGGATACACAACATCACTCAGATAAATCCATTGGGCTTTTGTATGGTTCCTTTATGTGGGCAAGAAGCCCTCAAGCACACAGCATGTGATTGAAACCATGAGGTACAGAGCAGTCACCTCATACTTTGCATCCACAATACATTCACCCTCAAGAGGCACTTTCCCATCTCTGCTATAGTCTTTACTTGATTAGTAGTTTTAGAGATATCCAATGCTGCACACATGACAACACTAGAAAGACCATAAAGAAGAAAAGGCTAAGACATGGATATGTGAGGTTGGGAGATGCGATGAGAACTGGCAGAAAGTGTTAATGTTAGTTACAAACATCAGGGAGGTTTCTTTTTTCTTCTTTTACTATGATGTTAGAAAGTTTCTTTTTCTGGTAATACAAAGCCCCACCCAGTTTAAAGGCTGTTTTGAGTGTATGACTCTATCCAATCCACTGAACACAGATGAGAGAGCCCACACCAAAGTGACCAAGGTGGGTTTTAGAACCAGTTTGGCCCATCTCTAAATACTACATATGAAAGAAAAAAACTACAAAGCAGGTCCAGAGCAAGCACCAGACAGCAGAGGGAACACATCTCATGCGGAGTATTAGGAAAAACCTGAATATACTTGAAAAAAATAAAAGGAAAAACAGTCACAGATCAACAGATCTCCATGAGGAGCCCCTGCACAGAAAACTTCCAGTTAGTGAGTATCTTGGGCTAAAGCAAACACAACTCTTTACAACCTCAGGTCAAGGCTTCTCTGTAGAAAAGAGTTAGAGCATAGTCTTCATACAGTAAAAGTTATTTACACACGTTTGCAAATACATTCAGAAGATAAAAGCACTCCCTCCTTTAGACTGAGTTTAGTTTAATCTGTATTATATTACACTACTGTGTTCTGGAATCTAAACTCCTATTTTCAAGAGCAGTTTCCAGCAGCAAAGACAGTGTGAAGCAGCCTGGTACCTGAGAACTGACAGAACTTGATGCAATGGCTTTCTACTAGATATTTCCCCCTTGAAATCTCTCCTGCCATAGCTGCTCAGAACAGTGTTAAAAATGGCCTGTTCTACATCAGTACCAGGAAAGGAGGTGATGCTCCCTTGATGAAAGTAAGGGTGTTACTGATGGGCAAGAAATTTCAGGAAAAAAGCCTCAAATAAAGAGGGAAAGGCCACTTCTTGCACCTGCATGACCCAGGAACCCTCAAGCTGCACAGAGAGACTCCGATACATTTTGTCTGCAAACCACAACCCTGCTCTGAGAGGTAGTGTGAAGATGGCCAAGGCACGTGCTCTGCCCTTCCTCTCCCCCTCCATCCCTAACATCTGCCACAGACTAACAGAGGGGGAATACTTTTTCCCACTATAAAGTCCAAGTGGATGCTGCCTCTGACCCTTTTGGAGGAGATGGAAAGGGAAGAAAATAGCATCTCTGATTGCTTTCCTCCTTGCAATGACACTTCTGCTCAACAGGCAGTTATGGGCATACCTGCAAAACCAGTTTACACACATCTCCTTTGCAGCAACACCTGGAAATGAGTGTCTGCCTGGCAGAAAGACTGTTTTCAAACAGAAACCATGACCACCCTCTATTAGGGCAGGACACTGTGTGTGACACTGCATATACTTCATTTCCCCCTGCTCTGAAGAAATGGATTTGGGAAGGGGTGAAATGGGTCAAAAAAAAAATCCTGTTTTTTTAACAGTATTCTGCACTTTCTGTCTCACCAGCTAGCACTATTAATTAAAACTTTCCATCTATCAGCATGTTCACTCCATAATAAGGATCAGAATAACCCTGATTGCCAAAGAGAAGTTAATCAGTTTAAGCATTACTGCTTTTAAATCAACTGGCTCGATTCCACCATCAGGAGACATATTTCATTCCACCTGTTCCATTTCCGCACTAGCAAACAGCATCACTGCGAGGATCCCCAGCTGCTCTTCTGAGAGCAAACCCCAGAAAGGCTCTCCCAGAAAGCGAGCATCAGCAACTGCCACTGGTGGCAATTTTTCCTCTTCAGGTTGGGCTTTCTCATTTTGCTTCTCTCGACTCAGTGCTGAACAAAACCCAGGAGGTAAACACCTACCAAGTCTTTGCCTCCGATTAAGCTATTAATTACATAAATTGGGGCACAATCACGACTTTTAATTAAACAGATCCCCACTCGCCTCCCTTGTGCTGCAAGTCCTCCAACCTGCCTCTCATTCGAGGTGCATTTAAAAAACTCCCCGACTCACCGAACGTCGTCCCCGCCTCGGGCCTGCTCACGGACGAGACGATGACAAACCCGAACCCCTCATTCTCGCCGCGGCGGATTTCCACATCGTAGGGCTGCACCACGGCGCTGACAACACCACTGCCCCCGCCACCACCGCTGCCGATGCCGCTGGTGCTGCCGCTGCCCGAGCTGACGGTGTTGAGGGAGTTCTGGCTGCCCTGCGGCGTTCGCTTCTCCTCCGTCAGCGAGGCCGGCTGGTTGCTGCTGTGGTGGGAAGAGGCCGGGGACGGGACTTCATTCTCTGCCTTGGGAACTGGGGAGGAGGGGAAAAAAGAGGGTTTGAGCATTTAGCTGCGCCATTTAGTGCTTGAAAAGAGATCTCTACCGAGGGAAAAGGCAGGAGAAAATCACCTGCTTTAGTCTACAGATCACGGCCATAAGGAGCAAGGGCTCTGTATCCTTTCGGATGTCACCACCAATAGCTCTGTTCAGTGATGGCACTGACCACACGTGCTCACTCTCTCCTGTGTATGGTCATGCAGCCAAAGCCTTTCACTGCCAAACTGCAGCAGCAGGATGGGGAAACCAGTGGAGTGCTGCGTGCTTGGGTGCTCGGTGGCATTTTAAACCTAGAGTACATTAGTTGAAAGATGCCTCCTTGAGGTATCACACCCCCACTTCAGTTATGTATCTACAGTTGTATGTACTTGCACAAGCCACGAGGAGACACAGTAATATCACACATCCATCACAACACCCGTGTATTTTTAAACTCAGTGCTATCAGTTAGGTAGCACTGATTGCCTTTGATTAATGGGATCTTAAGTAATAACAATTCCCCACACGAGCAAAACAACCTGTGAACCAAGCTTTTCCGGACAGAAGAACCAGCAACTATCAGCAACTGGCACAGATAGGGAAACCACTAAACATTGTTAACATTAACATTAAACAAGTGTTTAACAGGAACTGAAATTGGAAGGGGTATTAGTTTAAAATGTAATCAGCTACCACAAGGTTTGAAGAAGTCTCAAAAAAATCACTTAGTCCAGCCTCTGCTTGTGTGGGGGCCAACTATACTTAGTGTCAGTCCTGACAGATGTTTGTCTAATCAGTTGTTAAATATCTCCCCAGGCAATCTATTGGTTGCAATATCGGACTTAAATCTTCCCTGCTGCAACATAAGGCTATTATTTCTAGTGCTATCTAACAGGCATATGGAGTGCATATTGTTCCCTTCCTCTTTGCAGCAGCCTCTTATAGTCTTGGGGAGTTCAATACTCCCTCCCCCTTCTCTGCTTTGAGCTAAAGAATCCAAATTTGTTCAATATTTCCTTACAGACCATGTTTTCTAGAGCTCTCCTTAGTCTCCCTGGTCCTCTGGACTCCCTCCAGTTGGGCTCTCTCCAACTCAAACATGTCTTTCTTGAAGTGCTGGACCATATTGCACTAAGCCATCATCTGCTGGGAAATCAGGAGAGTTCCCCCCTGCCTACGTCCCAGCAGAGTGTTTTCCTTCACCTGAGCCAACCTCAGTGTAAAGCTCATGGCCCACAATAGCTTCCACTTCTTGTTGCGTAGCCTGTTCTCTGCAGCCCATTTGTGCAGCTGAGAGCAGCATATTGCACTTGTCCCTGCTGAATGGCTGCCTCCACTAATCAGGTCACTTCTCCAATTCCGTGAATCAAAATTAGGTTGAAGATCTTAAAAGCAACAGCAAGAAAATGCATGGCAAACAAAATCTAATCCTCTAAAATCATGATCCAAAGAAAACAGACTTTAAAATATCCTTGGACAGAAGTCCTGCCTGCACTTATATACTAAATATATAGTATTCTACATATTAAGAATAGAGGAGCATAAAATTCCCCCTAAATGAATCTCAAGACAGAGAGTACCCATTTAGGTGAACAATCTTTTTTCTACTGACAGGAGGAACAAGGGACCAAAATTCAGCAACAGCCTTCTCTACAAAGTTATACCGGAATTTAAAAGCCTGCAAATATAAGGTGAAAGAAGAGATTCTGAATAATTTATCCTAGAGTAAGTGTCCACATTTGAAATGATTCAGAAATAGCTCGGTCTGGAGTAACATGCCTCTGAATGAAATACCAAGAGAGATCTCACGCATCTAAATCTTTCATGGTAATTTCCAGCCTGGAGGCTGTAAAACTGCATAGAAAATCTACGCACAAAAACAACACCAAAATTCAGCTGCCCTTCCCCTTCCTCCCAAAGCTCTTCTCCTAAAACTTCTCTCACATTGGCAGCCCTTAGTCAGGAATTAAAGAGAGGCTGTCAGAAGAGAAACATTACCTAGTGTTTAATCCACAACATGAAGGAGGAAAAAAATGAGAAGTGAGCATTTAATATTGTGCAGAAAGAGCTCAGTTCTGGATAAGAATACAGAGCTATTTTAGAGGTACTTTTCTAGTCCTAACTTCCAATGAGGGCCTCCAATGAGGGCCTCATTTCCAAACTGAATGTTATTTTGATGCTCTTTAAGATTAAGGTACATGGCTGCCTATTTATCCGATGATGACTAAACTTGAAAGGCTACACAATATCCTTTCTTTCTGAATAAGTGAGATATACCAAATACCACAATTGAGTCCCCTAAGGGATTCACACAGAAAGAGGCAACACCCCAAAGTTACTCTCCAATAATAAGCATGAGGTCACATGTCATTTAGAAATCTCATGCTCAGGTTTTCCATTTTCTTTGCTATCAGGACATTTTTCAGTCACTCATCTGGGTGCCACCAGGCAGTGTCGCTTCTCTCTGCATCTCTGTCTTTCTGCCAGCTTCCTTTTTTTTTCCATTTAGACCCTACACTTGTGCAGTGTGTGCACAATGCCCAGCATAACTCAGCATACAGAAACCTCTCTAGACCTGAGCAATATGGTCTAGTGGAAGGTGCCCATGGCAGAAGAGTTGGAACTGGATGATCCTTGAGGTCCCTTCCAACCCAAAGCATTCTATGACTCTGATAACAAAAGTGCACAGCTGCACCACCAGGACCAACAGTGTTTACAGTTTTCCATCCTGCAGTTAGTTGACTACATGTTGAAGTTTCCCCTGATCCTGGGGCAGCAGCCACCACACACCACTGCCCTCCCTTCCTCTCCTGTGGACTCTACAGCTTTTTTCCCTCACTCCCAGTTTAAAGGTGACTATCAGGCAGCACGTTTATTTCAGGAAGTAAACAGAAAACACAGGCAGTCAGCCACAGTGCTGCTGCTGTATAAGTCAAACTAAAAACGATATGCTGCAACCAAACAGTTCCCCATTTTATCCAAAACCTTCACAGAGACCAGGAAATCCAACTGAGACTGAGAGAGTCTTGACTGCAAAAAAAAAAACACCTGAAGTTTATTTGATCAAGAACAAAAAAGACTAAAGACAGGCAAAAGAGTAAGAACAACAACACATCCCCTGAGTTTTCCCAGTACTACAAGGAGAAGTTTTTTTTCCCTTTAAACCATTTGCTGAACAGATGGGAGCCTGGCAAGAAAATCTAGCCCTGCAGAGCGACACTGCAGCCTACCTGTGTAAACCACTTTGCGCCTGACGGTCAGATTGACATGACCTTGTTTGGCTGCCTGTTGCATAAGCTGGACGACAAGCTGGTGTGATTTCCCGACAACGGGCGTCCCATCCACACAGATCAGTTCATCACCCGATCTCAGGCGGCCGTCAGCATCAGCAGCACCCAGCGGTACAATGTGACCGATGTAAATCTGTCGAATTAGCAGAGGAAGAGAGATAAATGAGAACCAGCCCAACAGCCAGCTGGAAGCAAGGGGCACTTGTAGTTAGACCCAATTTAGTAGGGACATGAAATTGTTGACAACTGTCTGCTGGTCAGGAAAGTTGCTCCTGTGAAAGCAGCTCTATGTGAATGCATCCACACCATGGAATTGTAATAAATTGACATCTTGTTTCTTTAGGCAGTCCATTCACTCTAATGACAGACAGCCTTGGGAAACTCACTCAACCAGAGAATGACCAGACAGGAAGATGGTTAAAAGCACTGAGGGTCTTGTCAGGAAAGTTGAGATTGAGTTACTCTTTCAGTTGCCTCTAGGGTTTACAAGTTTGGCACTGCTCGCCTGTCCACCAACTCAGTCTTGGTTTATCATCAGTGAGTTCTGTGAAGTTACTTTAACATGAGATGAATTCATGAACTCTCTTCCCATAAATGAGCAAAATAATTTTGGCAGGGAAAAAACGTGGAAATTCACGCTGCCACTACCTAGCTGTGACTTGGGCAGCAAGTGAAAGGACAACACCTCCCACAGGCACTGGATTTATGGCAAAGAAGTTGAGTGAATTTGAGAGGAGGATGGAGCAAGTAGAGAACCTGGCATTCTAAGATCAAAATACTTGCAAATCTGACCAGGACATCCTTTTCTCAGTATCCAGGCAATTTTAGACTTATGTGTTTTCGTCTGGTTTACAACAAAAGTAGAAGGAGAAAACAAACCCATTTCTGTTATGGAATTCTGGAGGTTTTTTTGAAGGGAGGGTGGGGAGGAGTTGCAGGATATATATAGTCAACTAGTTACTTTAACAGTAATGCTACAGCTCAGTTCTGCACATCTATACATGCTACTGTCGTGATTCTGAAAGATGTTGTGAGTTAAAACATGATACTCACAGGTTCTCCAGGCTCATTTCCACCTAGAATCCTAAATCCAAAACCAGTTTCCTTTCTCCATAGAAAGATATCTTGCTCTTGGTAATCTGGAACTGAAGGGAGAGAAGAAAAATTGTAATGTTTTTATCAAAAAAACTACACCTTTATACCCAAATCAGAACTACTAGGATGTATGTATAGGGGGATCTGCTACTGAATTTTAACCTTCAAAAAGGTGGTCTTGAATTTTCAGACAATATCACAAACACAATTTTATATACTAAAGGATTATTATTTCCATCACTACTAAAAATTATGCAGTGGTTTCTACTTTCTAGGTGTCTAACTGTGACTTCCATTTGTTTATCACTATAATATCTCCTTCTGTCAATATTAGCATCATTACCCAGAGCAAGAGCTTCTTCCAAATCATCAATAAATAAATGTGTACAACAGAGAATTACTCTGCCAGAAACAATACAGCTGTCTCCTCTTTCACACGAGACAAAAGAGCCACTTGTTATGACTTCTGCTGTTTAATTAACTTTCCCAAGCATAGTTTTCTGTCTTTCTACTAACACTGCTTTAAATAACAATGGGACAGATCCCCAGTTGTTGTAAATCAGAAGAGCTCCACTCAAAACAATGCAGCTCTCCTGACTCTCACTTGCTTGACAACAGGCTCTGCAAAACCACTGAAGAGATAAAACAAGCTGGAAATATAAAAAAGCCCAACCTCACCTACTCATTAGTATGGAACACCAGCAAGGTTTTTACAATGAATATTACATACAGTGAAGTACTAACCTTGAAGCGCGGTTGAACAGTAATGTTTTATATTAACTTACTCATGCTTGCTTTCATCCCTTTTTAAAAAATGCAAAACTAATTGCTAACATTAAATCATATCAGAAGACAACTTCAGGTTCATTTAATATTTATTGGATAGTATCTGTAACATTGACTAATTTTGCAATGATCCCCTCCCAAAATTTATAATTAATGATAATAAAAAGCTGTTCCATTACCAGCCAGCTGCCTATATTTTCAGTAAAGAAACCAAAGTATATCGTTCAGGAATCTGATTTAAATAACTGCCTACTCAGACACAGGATGCAGCACATTTAATGAAATATCATCTAGTTTTCTATATCTATGAGCAGGTTCTTTTCCACTGACATCAGTGAGTTTCAGATTGGGCCCTAATTGCATTTTACACTGCCTGTGCCTATTGTGCAAAAATTTGGGTCTAGTCTTGTGCTTTTCAGTGTTAAGACTTCTGGTTAGCTCTCATGGTCTCTCTTCAATGATTCAAGAGGATTAAAATATAATATGAACTGAAGATCCGGGAATACTAAAAATTAAATGAATAGGTGGGCGGTAAGGTACAGATGTCTGCTTTGATATTTTCATTTAAACTGGCTTTATATAGAATCTTTTCACACTTTAATTACCTGCAGTTATAAACTAAGCTTAAGACCCATGCCCTTACTGAAATAACTGGAGAATAATTTTTGTCCAGACACAATTACAGAGCAGTCGGGTGATGAACACACTGGGCGCCTGCGTGGCTCATCTGTTCTGGCTGAAGGCAGCTCTCCACCCTACAGACGTGTGGCACAACAGCAGAATTCAGACCACGAATTAATTGGTGTTTGTCACTGCCTTCAGCGAGGGGAGCGTGACGGGCAGACACTCTCGGAAGTGTCTCTCCAGCCCCTCGCAGGCTATTTTGGCAAAGGCTGGCCCCAGCCAATTAATAGCGCGTGTTGGATCTGTCAGAGGTAAAGTGGCTTCTGCAGAGAGCTTCAGCAGAGCCCATTTCCTCAGCATCTCTCACCACCTTCCCATTTGTCAGCTCTCCAGTCTCACTGAACGATGCCGTATGTCCCTGGTTTGGGTACCAGCAAGACAATTAATGCTGCTGGAGGGAACAGCAAGCCCGGCCGGACCGGCAGCGTCAAACCAAAGCAACAACAAAAGTCTATCCCCCAAAGAAGCCAGTTCATTCATGTAACGCTCCTTCCACTGGAAGGATTACAGAGAGGTGGAACACAGATATGACAGACATACAGACAAAACACATTTACACATACAGACCAAGCAAAACTCCTTTTACCACTTTTTGCTCCGGCTCTGCAGTACAGTGATTCACTGGCACAGCCCAGAACACCCATCCACCTCTGTGCTTCAGCGCAGATGAGGTGGGACCCCCCCGAGGTCCCATACTGGAAAATTATTTTTGGTTCTCCCATTATTCATTAGCACTTCAGAGGAACCACCTTCCCTACTTAAAGGGAAAAATGATGGTGCTCCAACTCTGCTGAAAATGAATGAAAAATGGCCTCTAGGAGTCATTCATTGCAATCCTGAACCTTGACTGATCTCAAGCCTGTCTGACTCTGATAAAACAAGTGTATAGCCCAAATGGCTAAAATTTGCCAGTCTGCTCGTCTGAAATGAAGGCAGAGCACTGGGAGAACATTGCAAAAGCGGTAAGAAGAGCTCTGCTGGGGCCATGAGGAGGAATGGAAGGAGAGGTGAGGGACGCAGCCCCGACGATGAGCCACGTGGGCAAAGTCATGAAGGAAACAGGACCATGATACGCCCACCCCACCACTGCCCACGAGATCTGCCGCCAGCCAGGACACAGTAAAGCGAAGACTTTGCACCTTGGTGGCTAACCTTGGCGTATGGTCCTGCCAGACTCCCTTGGTGATGAAGAGCCCCCCGCCACAGAGCAGCAATGACACCAAAACAAGACATCACAAGACACAGATACATTCCCAGCACAGTCTTACATTCTCCAAAACTCGTGGAATTGATTTCTCTCTCTCTCTCACCCTTGCTCAGTCCAGTTGCAGGCGAAGGTGACATAGCTGTAATATTAATTTTACAATTTTGCAAAGCTTAACGTATCTGCTTTCTTGTTAGTTCATTTAAGTAATTGTGACTTTATGGATCGTGTTAGGCTTTCATGCATAATTTGTTAAGGTTATAGCTACTATGGATTATGACATACTAAATTTCACATCTATCTGCACATGACTGTGCACATGTGAATATATAATAAACACACATGAATTTATATGTTTATGCACATGCATGCAGGTATATTTAGACAACCTCTTTTTTCTCCTCAGAGGCAAAATTTCTTTAAGAACACCTTAAATAGACTTTGCTACAAAAAAAAAATTAACTTTCATGACACAGTTAGTTTTCCAAATGTAAATATCTTTTCCTAATGTTAAAAGAAATTCTAATGATGTGGTGATGAACAATGAACACAGTGTCTAATTAGAGGTAATTTTAATCAAACTTTCCTGTACAAACTTTAACAATTATCTTACATGTTATGTAAAAGAAAAATCTGCCCAATGTGACATCAGTTTCAACACAAGATGGATTCAAGAATGATCAGTATGAGTTTGCTTTAGTCACTGGCTCATTTGAGCAGCAGCACTTTCAGTGACTCATAGCTTGGCAAAGTATAAAAGGTTTAAGGCCCAGATTCAGCAAAGTGTATAAGAACAAGTCTGAAATAAAGAGTGAACAGTCTCACTGAAGCTGTTGGAGAGTTTCAGAGTTGACAAGTCCTGCGATTTAGCCATAAAAATCTCAGGAGGTTCCTACACTACCCCAATACAGGAGAATTCCAGGGGTTTTTTGCCTTCTCCTTTTAACCAATCCTTCTGGTGGCATGAGAAGCTTTTGAAAGACGGCTTCAGCACACTCTTGACAAGATGACCATGCTCTGCCAGTGAGGTTTGGGGAGGGTGTGATGCCTTGAGTGATGTCATGGAGCCTGCCCATGACCCCGCTCCCTCCCTCCCTCCCTCCGCTGCTCACACGTGCTGTGAGTACTAGGAGTACTACGGTCCTTTTTAGCAAGACTTTCCCTAAGGGCATGGACACATCTGTGTGCCCAAGAGTATGACTGTAACTGTTTGTCTACTATTAATATAATAAAAGGACATAACCCTACCAAAGGGCTTTTATTAACCATCATCTTGAAAGTCAGCCTGATCAGAAGGCGGCTGCAATTTCTGGAGAGTGTTTTTCTTTTCTATTTTAGGGAGAAAGTACCTAATGTTTGTATCATTGTGCAAATATTTTTAATTCTATGTAATTGCTGGTGAGTGAACACTACACACCGGGGTCAAGACTTGTTTGTATTATTTTAATTAGATTTGAGGAGAGAAAAATCCTACCAAACAAATTATGTGCCTGAAAATAAAATTCAAATATTAATGATAACTTAGAATATTTTAAAAGCTTTAAAAATTATCTATCATGTTCTGCTTTACTTTTAATTAAATGCTTAAGCCCTTCAAAGGGATTCATTAACACATCTGCAATTCAGATTAATTCATTTTGTCACTGCTGTTTTGACAGATGGCCATATGTAGGATACGGTATTTTGCAAAGCAATCAGGCCACATGAGAAAAATTTGACAACAGATTGCGTTAATCTTAAAGGAAGTTTAATAATACATTGAAAAATAAAAAGCATATTATAAAAATATATTTCAATAAAACAGTGAGAGGCTTTTAGAATTGCGGCTCTCTGCTAAGCCATTCAATTGCTGTTCCTCTCACTGAGTGCTCTTCGTGTATGTCATTCCCGGATCCTGGAACAGCTTCAGCTTTTAAACCTTGAGGGTTTGTCCTTCTCTCTGATTCATGTACACAACTCCCACGAGCAGCAATGAGTTACCCTTAACGAGGAGCTCAGGCAGCTAAAACTTAGCACCAGCAAAGAGTGCATTTGTTATCGCCACCAAAATGATCTGTTTTCACATTCGCTCAGCACAAAGCTGGCTATTCTCAAATGTCCTAATCCAGCAAAGACTGGCAACTCTGGGCCAGATTGCAGCAGAGCATTTGAGCTCAGCCTTAGCCTTAAAGCATCCCCAGTCCCCGTTGGGTTTACAGCTTGAAAATAAGCTTCCTTGGACCGGAGCCAAAGCACTCAGCACCTCGCAGGGCTGATCCCCTCACCCTGGGGAGCTGCACGTGAAGGAACTTTAACCCATATTTGTGGAATAAAGTTGCAGTTCTCATCTGCTGCCACTCAGCCAGTGTACAGACACAGTGATGGAGCCATTGCTTAGCTCTGCGTTATAATTCTGGCTTAATTTTTCTTATTTTTATTTTTCTTCTCCTAAACAGGTAACATCTGTGGCTCTCCCCTGCAGAATTAGAGTGCTTCCTGATATTAAGATGCATTGGGTAAATAAAAAAAAAACACCACACGCTTTTAACACAATTATGGGTTAGCTGGTGCTTTTGAACATAATTCTGCTCTACCAATGGCTTCAGTGAGATAGGTCACATAAGGCAAACACAGTCCTTTTTAATGAAATACTGATCCAAAGACAACTCAGATAGAAAAAGAATGCATTTTACCAATTCTGAAAAATTAAAATGTTGCTTGTGCTTCCCATGTCTACATTCTTATTATTAATGTTAGTAACAGTGGGATGCACTCCCAGAGAAAAAGGCAGTAGGTGTTCATTATGGATTCAGCACTTCTTAGAAATATCCTGGAGACGACAAATTCATATATTGAATAAAACCTACTTATATTATTATTTTTAGATGAAAAAAATCTGTCTGGGCTGGGGCTAATGAATTCATCTTCTTGTGTCAGCTGCACTTGAAAAATTGCACTATGTTCTCTTTATATTCAACAATTTCACAAATGGGAAAAAATAAAACACTTAAGATGATCTAATGCTCTAAAATTCTGTGCTTTTAAAATTCATCATACACTTCAGCACAAAGGGTTGTTGCTGTTTTTCAGTCCACTTGTTGAGGGTTCAAAACCCTGCCTCTCAAAAGAACATTTCACAATCCTTTTCTGGCTTTTTGAAATTTAAGGTCAGCAATCAACAGAGAGCAAGCCCTGGCCTGGGTATCTGGGAGAGCTGAGCTGGGCCTTCTCGGGGAGTGGGGGATTTCAGCACCCACGAAATGCCCAGTTACTGGATGTATCAGCCACCCTCAGCACTGGCACTAGGGTGGCATCCTCCTGCTGTACATTAGGCATTCACTCAGTTCTGCTCACACTTTCATCAGAAGATTGCAGAGAGAGTCTCGTCTAGAACCCAGAGCTATGGATGTCACGGGAGATGCTAACCTCAGACCCAAAGCCAAAGGGAATGAGTGCTCAAGTGAAGAAGGAAGCAATGATATCACTGTATCTCCACCAGCCAAAGGTGGCACAGGGGTTAAACTGAACTGCAGCTGGGTACAAACACAAAGAACAGCACCTGTGGAGCAGACAGAGAGCGAAACTGGAGTGCCCAGGGAATGGTTTCTCCCACCACACACTCTGGTGCTCCGTGTCAGCAGAGCTCTCTGTGAGTGATCAGAGAGCCACAGAGTTGGTGCTTGGGTAACACTGGAAACTGAGTCTCAAAGGGATGACTCAGGTTCATAACGAAGGGAAAGAAACACGGTGCCCCCCGCAAGCTCCCAGGGCAGCAGACCCAGGTTTCAGCTGAGAACCACAGCCTCCATTTATGAGACTGGTGAGAACTGAGGGAAGGAGAAGGAGCTGACCATGGATCTCTGAATAAAACCACTAGTCACACTATGGGATCAGACCATGCCAGGAGACAGAGTATGTCCAACTCCATTTTTCACTTATCTTTTCCGTTTTTCTTCACATTTCATTAGGCGCAGCAAAGCGATGTCACTAGCTAAGAATGCAGGTTAATCCCCAGGGAATGTGCTTCACTCCAGCTTAGGGTTGGAAATTCATAGGCTCTTGGACACTTCAGGTGGCACGACTTTACAAGGAGACATGACCATATCACACTTTGCCCACTCTTCCAAAACCTTCTACCTACGAAATCAAGAAACCTCAGAAAACACCTTCCTGGAAAGGAAGGGCATGGGGATGAAAAGGCGATAGAAAAGCACCAATGTTCAAACTGCAAGTCTCATCTGGCAGAAGAGGCAGGAGACAAAGACTGAAGCAGTAGAAGAGGATCAACACCACTACGGAGATGCTGGACCACGGAAAGGTGAGACAGGGAAGCTGAAGGGGTGTAGCAGATCTCAGTCTAGCAACAGGCCCAGCAGTGAGGATTGTGGCACAGGGAAAGATGGGGTGTGGAAAACCAGCTGGCCAAGAGACAGTGAAACATCCTCTTGAAGGGCTCTATTCACATACAAGGATAAAACTTGTACAAGATAACTGCAGCCATCGAGGAAAGAGGGAGGATTTAATACATGGGGTTAGAAGCGGACACAGAAGGGCAACTGCCTGCCTGTGCACTTCAGGATTTCTCCAGCTCAGTCTTGGGTTTTATCAGGAAAGACAGGCAGGAGTTAAGGCTGCTAGGAGTTAAGGCTGCTAGGAGTTAAGGCTGCTAAGCTGATACTAATGACTAATTAGAAGGAGTTAAACAGTTAATTAGAAATTAGCTAAGTAGCTGCAGGGGGTCAGAGGCAATGCCAGCACAGCGCCAATGGGAACCACGCGAGCTGAGCACTGGCAATGCCAGTGCCATGGAACAGCCTCGGCCTTGTCCACTAGCTCAGGAGAAGGAGGAGCTCTGCCCACAGCTCTGCAGAGCTGAATAGTCACCATCCCTCAGCTCTTGCCTTTTTTTCCTGTTTCAGTAAGCTGTTCATACAAGTTCTGTCACTGCACTCACAGATCAGCATGACCTGGCCCAAGAGCCTGCAGGGTCGGCACACCTAAACCCTGGGAAGGGGTGGGAAGGGAAGCAGTGCACAGAAGCTGAGACACCTACAAACTGCATTGCTGAGACATTCAATCCAAAGAGATGAATCTTCAGCCAAGAAACTGTGACTCATGATTTAATTTTTCCAAGACATAAGACTTCAAAGTGATTCGTTTGGTCAGAAAAAAACAGTCCTTCCACTTTTCATTCCGAGGTAACATTCATTTCATACTGGTTTTACCAATTTCCAGTTAGCACATTAAAGTCCAGCTGCAGGTAATACTCTCACAGAATGAAGACTTTGAAACTCCCTTTTCTGTAACTAAAGCTACTATTGCCTTTCAAGATGAACCTAATACTCTAACTCTCAAAGAAGCTTTTACAAATTTGATCATCTTCAGCAGTGCAATTAAAGCAAAGCCAATGTGTTTATTCTGTTTGCAGAGAAGAAGCTGACTGAAACCATATTTATAGTCTTGGAACAGAGTCAAAACCCTGCTGAACTATTAGCCAAGTACGCAGATTATTAATTGCCATAAAAGCCACTTACAATATGCATTTGATATCTGTATTGCTAAAGTGTCCACTCTGGTCAAAGTAAAATGGCTCAGCTGGATTTTCTCCTCCCCGGGGTGAGGCTGAAAAGCATCTGATATGAATTTCAGCAAACTAATTACTTCCCTTCCTCACTGAAATTCCTATGCAGATCAGACAATGAGTTTTAACATCAAAAAAGAGTTTAGGATCTAGATAACAAACTTGGAAATTCTCCTTTGGCCTAATTCAAAAGCAAAAAAAAAAAAAACATAGGGGAAAAGACGGTCTTTAATTTTAAAGGGATTTTTCATATCAAGCTTTATGTGCCCTTTCCTAGGCATGATCTAAATTCAGTCCTCACCAGAGAGGAGACCGCAGCTCTACCAAGTAGCCACCACTGACAGGCACCGAACTAACCAACCGAAGCCTTACATTTTCAACAGAAATCTGAAAGATTTCCTTGCAAAGAAAATACACAGGCAGCAGCTGCCAGAGCCGTAGCCCTTAGCAACCACACCTGCTTCATATACTCACGTCGGCTTTCATACATGCTCCTGGACTGGGCCCAGATTTTGAACGGATCTGGCTTCTTCTGCCCAGAGGTGTCCGGCTGGTCCGCAGGCGGTGCCTCCGCGGCGCTGTAGTCCGGCAGCACCTGCGTGCTGTGCACGGGGGACGCGGTGTGCCCGCTGCGGTGGCTGGAGACGCTGTGCTGGGAACTGTTTTGGCTGTCTTTCCTTTCAAGTGGTTGCTGTAAGGAAGGAAAGTGAGTGGAGAGAGAGAGAGAGAGAGAGAGAGAGAGAGAGAGAGAGAGAACAGACGGTTATTGGTCTTTGAGTGGGTGTTTGCCATCAATTTTTCTCCCTTCTTTGATCGGGGTTTCTGCACGCACATAAGTAAATATATAAATTATGGTTTTGCTGCTAGTTAATGCTGGATACAGTTAAATTCCTCGATGACAGATTTTGATAGGCAGACTGACAGAAAGAGACTTGCAAAACAAAGTCACTTATCATAAAAAATATGCATTTTTCCATCTCATATATAAGACAGATCCAAATCTCACTAGAGGTTACTAGTTTCAGTGCACTTGTTTTTTCCTGCATTAAGGTAGAAAAACTCATCAACCTTCTACTCAGATAACATTATGGTCTAACTTGACCCTGAAAGAAAAAGTAAAAACTACCAGATTTTGCTGTGAAAACTCAAACTGTCCCTCCGAATCAGATTCAAGCACAGACCTTACTATGCAAGATCACTTTTCCTCTGCAGCTCTTTCAAGCCCCCACACCACAAATCGCTGGACAACATCCCTTTGATGGCTCTGCTTCCCAGAGCATCCACAGGATTCCTGCAGACCTTCACAAATGTGAAAATGTCTATTTGCAGTTTGGTTTCCCTGTTTTAATTGAGTATATTAAAACAGGAAAAAATGTGTCTGTCTAAATTCAGGGCTTACTCCAAAGCAGTATGTCAAGAGTTCTGCCTGTTCACTATTTAGCTAAGCAGGGTACACAGTTCTTAATTCAAACTCACAACAGCATGCTGAAATGAAGCACGAGTCACATCTGCAGTGCCAGAATTTGTACTACTCGACATGCAGAAAAATCTGCCCCCGACAAGAGCTCCCCAAACTGTTCAGCAAATGCTTTTCAAAGCTCTTTTAAGATGACCTTGGGTTGACATCAAGGTTCAGTCCAATCTCCCACCTGCTCTGACACAGGGAACTGTGTATGGAAAAATAGGTTGTTTTTCCTACTTCCACTATTTCCTGGCTAAAAGGGGTCAGTCCCTGGCACCAAGAAACCTCAGAGAGAAATTTACCTGACAGAGGATACCTGAAAACATTGCAACAGAAGTCTCTCCTTTCAGGGACTTCTTTACTGCAAACCAAGCAGGGCAGACAAACCAACCAAACACAGAGCAGAGCAGCACAGAGGGCTGATGTGCCCACAGGTCTGGGGACTCCTTGCTTCACTCTGAATAGGGAACCCCTGGCAGCCAATGTTCCATCATAGGAGGGTTGAATTAATTACAGAGGAGAAAGTCACCATACAAAGCGCCCCCTTTCTGAGTCTTGAAAAAATCCCAACAGATTATATTATTGTTAAGTTGCACATAGTTCAGGTTTACACTGGAAAAAAACCCAAACATTTCCAACAGCCCAAATGACTTTGACCTCTCAGTCTTGCATTCAAGTTGTTGATCCACTACCAGTATCTTTTAAAGGACAGACTAGATCTTTCAAAAGATCAACTAGAATATGAAATTGCCTTTGTCCTTTAAAGCAATTTTGAACAAAGCATACCTGCTGTGATTACTCATCTCCAGACTTTCAAATACAAATATCTGAAACAATTTCCAACATTCTAAGCTTTTAAAGTGGTAAATGAAGCTAATTCACACACAGCCTTTCAGTTTTTAAATTAAGCCATTTTAAAACAGCTATGCTGGGGATAATCACTCCTTTGTAACTTGGAAAAAAATACAGAAACATTTTACATCTCTCAGTCCAGCCATCTGGATTGGTTTGTTTGTTTGGCCAAACTACTAAAATAACTACAAGCATCCTGTGAAACTTCAGGCCAATCTCACTGGAAATAGCTGGGTTACAGAATGTGGAGTACAGGGACTGAAGTGTGAAGCTTTATTCAGCCTCTGGAGAAACAGTGAGAACTCTCTGAAAACTTTCTGATTTAAAAAGAAACAAAGTTCCAACTTCAGAAAGTGCTCTCACTTTGTGATATGAAAGGTTTAAATTTTAAACAAACTATGAATTCCGTTTCGTATTTGGGTTGCAAATGGAAGTGTCAGCACATCTCAAGCAAAACCATCTCTAATGAAACTACAGTTTCAATTGCAAATACACAGACATTTTTCAAGAAATAAGGGAAAAATTCTTCAGAGGGAAAGTTGTCTTCCCAAAAAATAACTCCTTTAAAAAGCCTGAAACATCTCTGTTTAGGAGTTTAAGAGGGGACCAGAAAAAGGGGAACTCAACCACAGTAATAATGCATATATGTAATTAAATTAATTCAAGACAATATTTATTGACTTTCACATCACCAGAGGAGGCCAAAAAGGTTTGGGGCCAAAATTCTTTCCACATGTTGTAGCAGCTTCAGCACATCATCCCTATGAGGAATTACAGGGGTCTGACCATCCTGGTCACTGCATCACCCCTCCCATGGGGACTTCTCAGGTAAAGAAGTTCGTGTCCTGGTGCAAGTGGAACTTTCCCAAGAGAGATGAGCATAATGCCAGTGAAAGGATGGGTTCTCCACCTCCTGTCAGGGGCAGGCTGTGCAGAGGAATTGCATTTTTGGCTGCAATTCAGCTATGCTGACAATGTATTTATTTAAAGCCAAAACAAAAAAATTAGATTTTTTTGAAGAGCCTAGCACTTTCTGCCCCCTGCAGTGATCTTGTCTTCTGATGATCTAGCTGCAGATTTTGTGCTCTAGAGCATTTTGGAGAAACTGGTCCTGGTAGTGAAGCAAACTGAGCTGGAAATGGGAATCTTTGCCCCCTTGTGGAGTATTCTGATGCAAGCAACAAGGAAAAAAAAAAAAAAAAGAAAAAAAAAGGAAAAAAAGTTTGGTTTTATCTATGTTATAAAACGATAATTCCAGAGGAAATTTATATACTAGACAACTTGCACACTGAAAAAGTTATTTCCTTGGCCATTCAATGCAAAAATATTATCCATTTTCATCTAAAAAAGAATCAATGGGAAACTGAAAACAAGTGAGCAGCAGAGAGAACTGCTGGGAGCATATCTTTGGTGGGGGAATAGAGAATAAAGAACTTGGAAATGTCCAGTCCCATGTATGGCCACAAAGGGTTTCTTTTACTAATTTGGCTCTTTCCCCAAGGTTGAAAAGTTCTCCTTAAAATTTGAGAAGTGTAAAGCTCATCAGAAGATACACACGGACTGAGAAATACAGCCCAAGAAAACTGAGCAGGAAAAAAATACTCTGAGGTTGCATCATAGCCCCAGCAAACCTCTCCGAGGGGCTAAAACACCTCCCCACAGCCAGGCAGCACCAAAAACCCTGAAGATGGCCTTTTGGGAATTGGGAATTGGGGCTGGCAGCTAAAAATAGGACTTGCTTGAGAGAGAGCAGCTGCTGGCAGAAAGTTGGGAAGGTGTCTGAACTTTGGGAAAGGACAGGAGGTAACAAGAGAGGGCTCATCTCTTGAGCAAAGCAGAAGAGGACAGACACCTGAGTCGTGACTTCCCTGATGCAGCAGAAGAAACGAAGAATAAGGACAAGTTAAGATCAAGCCCACTGCTCCCTGCCAGGATGTACATTGCCCCCTGGCTGCAGCTCATTTATTAAACAAGTAATGCTGGAAAACCATTCCCACTGCAGGGGAAATGGGAGCATGTTCTCCCTCAGCCCCACGGGCAGCTGTGCAGTGCTGGGGACAGCCCCTGGCACAGGCTCCACCAGCAGCACCTACATTCACCCCTTCGCTTGCCAGTGCAGCAGCAAACTGGGAGTCCCTGGGATTCAGCGCATCCATGGGAAACACTGGCACAGAGTTCAGTGAGATGGTGTCCCAGCCCGGGAGTGTGACAGTGGGGCAGGCCTGGCTCTCACCTGCCATGAGGGGATCTTCATGGCCAAGAGGATCAGGTTGGGCTCCCCTCACCCTTCAGGTGAGCAGCACCCCTTCAACAAACCGAGGATGGACAGTGTTTGCTACATCACCACTTCCCCACTTTTGACCATCGCCTTGGCCATGTGAGCTCTGGAGTTCGTGTAAATCCACCCCAGAGAGCCTCGGGGACAATTCCCTCCTCTGCACACGGATGCCCCGATGCACTTTGCTCCAGGTTTCCGTGCTCAACCCTTGCGTGTCACCAACGCCTGGGGATGAAGAAGTGGCTGCACCGGCTCAGCTGAGCTCTCGGCTCTGCCCTCCGAGGAGTGTTCGGTCATTAAAGCTGCCACACAATGCGGCAGACCACAACATCGCTGCTAATTGCTGCTGCCAACGATCCCCTGTGCAGGCAGGGGGAACAGGAGGCTCTGCTCTTTGTGAATCCTGTGCTTTAGAGGCAACAGCACCGCCTAGGACCACAGGAAAAATTACTGAAGGGACCCTAGAGCAAAGTGTGAGGGCTCAGGAGAGGCATGCGAGGGAACAGAACTGCTTTCCCAAGGCTGACAGGCTCCTCAAAGCAAGCAGTAAGGAGAAATCTGCTGTTGCACAGCTACACCTGTTTGTAAGCAGCCTCTTTGTTCACCAAGGCAGGATTAGCCTGACATGGATTTAGATGCTGCTCAGATTTTTACGGTGCACAGCTGTCAACCAGAGAGGTGTCTGACACAGCACGATCCCACTTCACCCGATGCCAAATGTGCGTGTGGCAGAGCGGGAGCCTCCAGGCTGTGGAAAGACCAAGACTCATTGATTAGGGCTGGTTTAATGACAGAAGTCGGGAGTCTGGATCGCGTGCAGCCAATCCTGCTCTGACCAGGGCAAGAAGTGGAGGCAGAGAACAGAAATGTGCCAGACACGTATGTATTTTACACACTCGCTTCTGTTTTTCCAAAGGCTGGAATAATCCCCGGGTGTGACAGCAACGAGCACGCAGGGTCTGACAGGACTGTGATTTGCGAGGGAGCACACTCCGCACTTCTGCCTCCCAACATTAATGCGAGCTGACAATGGTAGAGGCCTGGGCTCACATGACTTTAATCAGCGCTGCCCTAAGCCATCAGAATCACATTAATTATTTCAGGGCTTTCTTTTTGGATGAACAGGGAGCTTGTATTAAAAGCAAGAGCCTTCTGCTCAGCCTCTTCGTGAACCTCTTGCCCAGGTCTGTGAGGTGGGCTGTGCCCAGCTGCAGGTTTTGGCACCCACTGGGGACTGTCGGTGAAGTTTCACACCATCTTACAACACAGTAAACACCTCACTCGCTCTGCTTCCCCAAAGCTCCTGGGAGAGAATTCTGTCTTTCCCTCACTCTCAACAGATAACTGCAAACTTTCAGGCTTTAAGTATTTCATTTCCTTTAAAAATAAAACATTTCTTTTTGTTGCATACAAATAGCACATTAATTTCTCCCATAATATCATGCATGGAGCTTTAGAGATACTTTAGATCACGGCTTCCGTGCCGCTAGCTAACGTGTCATCCAGGTAACAGCTTTACATGAAAATAAGATAAGAGGGGACAAGAAAATACTGTTCTATTGTTGCTTTTTTTAAAAAATAAGGAATCTCACACCTGCAGCACAGTCCTGCTCAGTACAAAAATGCCTCCAGAGCAAGCACCCAGACAGCTGACTGTATTCCCTGGGAACTGTAATCATGCTCCGTTCATGCTTTGTCTCTCTTGACAAGGTGCATGCTTTCCCATTCCGTTAATAATTCAGCCAAGGGTACTCAAGAAAACTCAGGGAGCTAATGGAAAAGGTTGGTGCTTATGAGCACCCGACAGGAATTGCTATCTGGCAAGAAGGTGGAGCCTCCCATCTTTCCAAAAGGAAACAATAGCTGTTTTTTTCGGTAAGTTAAACGACAGAGAAGCTCATCTGTCAGGGAAGTGGATCTGTAAACCTAAGGCTTTATTTGCAAACAAGTCCCCCTTCCGTACTGCATTCCTCTCTCATCTCCCCATGCAGCAGGAGCCGTGCAAGGTAATCACGGTTGCAACAGAAAGACAACTTAAAACAATCAAGACCCACAAAGCAAAGAAGCCAAACTCGTGCCTTTCCCCTTCAGAGCAGACAAACAGACAAAAAATAGTAGCTGAAAAGTGCTTACCGACTTTGGGCTCTTCTTTGGGACCGGCAGTCCTGAAAAATGGCAACAAGGGAAAAATAAACATTAGCATTAAAGGTTACCTTCCCTTAAAGAAAAATCCCTAGGTGTATCATCCGAACGTAGCCATCTGCAGAGTTATGTCAGCTTTCGCTCTCGCATCGGAGTTACCAGTCTGTTCATATCGAATCAAAGCACAGGGAGAGGGAGAGCGAGCGAGAGACGGGAGCGGGGGGAGAGCTCTATCTGCATTAGCTATGCTGACTTGTGCTGCAGCAGCCGGGAGGCTGGGAGAGAAACCCACAGCCCTCAGCGGCTGCCGAAACCCAGCGCTCGGGCAGAATCTCAAATGCTCCCCTGGATTACGGGAGACTTAGCTCACAATTAAGCCGAGGCTCTTTCCTCCTGACGCGATCGGCTCGGCGATTTTATCGGACCAATCGCGGAGGTGCAGGGCAAACAGGTTGATTTTTTAAAAAAGTATTTCTCCAGAAATCGATTTTTGAACAGGAAAACGGGCACGGGCTTGAGCCAAGATGTGCGGGGCTGGGCAAAGGAAAACAAAAGCATGAGGAAGAATAAGCTTTTATCCCTAAAAATGTGAATATTACTGAGAAAACACGTTTTCCTTCCTTTCCATCCTCAGTGTAAATCTTTGAAGCCAGAGGTTTTATCTGTTAGCAACAATTTCAGAGAGCTGTGGCTTGAGAACAAGCACTACTCATGTCTTGACCCCTGGGGGGGAAGCTCGGGAGCTTGGAGAAGGGGAGTTTACACAGGTTGCAGTTGATGTAAAGGAAGAAACAACTGGGAGGGCACCAGGGAAGGTTTTTTCAAGGACAATTTTGCATTTTGAAGCAGCCTCTTACTCGCTCTGTAATGAGCAAGACAACTCAAGAGAGATTTCAATCAACTACTTGTGCATATAGCCCAGTTGCCAGCAGCAAGGAAACACTTGTCCAGGGGTTAACCTCTAAATGCAGGAAAAGCTCTTTCTTGTGCCTTTTGCAAGAATGCCCAAGACCTCCCTTTTCTGTAACTGTTGGAAGAGAGGAAAACTCCCCATATTTTGCTCTGTGTGACACTCCAGAAACAAACATAAACCTAAACATAGATTACATTGCACATTAAGTGCTCAGCAATTCAGATGTTTGAAATCTGCTTTTGTCTTTAGCATGTGATTTATGTGGCATTTATGCCGCATTACGTTTTTGACTTTATGCATTTTGTTTATTCTAAAACCCATGCCCTCATCTAACTTTTACACAGAGAATAAGTGAAGCAAGTGAATTACAGATCTGTCTAGGAAGATGCCTATTTTAAGGTAATTTGGGAGATGTTAGTTCTGAATAGGGAAGATTCACAATTAAAAATAATAAACAGAGCTCACTTTGCTGTTGCTCTCAGACTGGAATGCATACTGCAACGAGGATTTAAAATGAAATATTTTCAAGCTTTTGAGGAATATCTGTGCTCTGCATGTCACTGATGCATTCTCAGCCAATAGCTGATATCCCTCCAGGCACTGATTGATCGACGGACAATGAAACATCAAAACTGTTTGAACGAAACAATCAAGACTGCAGCTTCATTTTTGCTGACAGGGACTGTGTTTATATAATACACTTAAAGAGGAAAGCACTAATAATGTTCATGGCAAGTCCCATTTTTAACAGGCATCATTTATCACAGAGATAAACACACAGATTCTCTTCTCTCTCTACCTCCTTCCACATGCATGCACACACGTTTACTCTCCCTTTCCAAGAGATGCTCTTTCCTATTAAATCAATAGCTAGAACAGATCCTCGTGCACACAGGCACCCCTAACACACCAGCATGAGACAGAAAAGATATTACAGCAATTTAAATGCTCCCTTCAAAATAAAAACTGGAAATGCAGCTGGGTTGTTGGTTCATATTGTATCAGAATTCAGTTTATTGCATCACAAACATTAAACGTTAAAATTTAATAAGTATGAACTACTGAACAAACCTTTCCTTTAAATGTGTCAGTAATTTTGTCTGTTCTGACCCCAAAGAGATGGAAAATAGTTGAAAAATAATGGAAAACACGTCAAGACCATTGTTTGGCGAGTGTATCTTACAGTGTCACTGCTCTGTGCCAGACTTTGCTGCAGAACAAGCAATAAATGACTTTTCACCTAAATAAGTGACTGCAGAACACGTTAACAAATGTCTGTAGTTTTTCATGGGACAAGTTTATAGTCAGGGGAATAACCTGCCTGCACATTTCCCTGTGAAAATGTTATTTATTCATCTAATTAGGGTCTCATTTCAGAACTCCAGCTCTTGACGCAGCAGGCCAAATGAGCAAATGATAGGTATAATGGGTAGTTTTCATGCTCAGATGATGGAATGGATACAGTATTTAACAGCGATGAACACGAAGAGCTTGAATAACCCCCAAATCCTGGGAGCACCACTAGTGAGAAAACGCCAAGCTTTTCCAAAAAGCTTCTGGGAAAGAAATTGCCCAAGCCTATGAATCTGGAATACTGACAGCTATGAATTACAATATCCATCTTTTGGTTCCATTAACGTGTCTCATCACTGCTCACGCTATGCCCTGCTTGGAAGCTCATCCTCCCAAGGCTGCCCGTTCTCCCCTGAAGCCTCACTACAAATTTTTCAGAGGTAAATGGGCTAAGCATGGACTCAACACCCAGTTTGCATCTTTCTAGCATTGTCCAGCTTTTTCGTGGTTGGAGTAATAGCTTCACATCCCTGGCTAAGAGAAGCCAAAAGGCTTGTCCCTGCTCTGATACTAGAATAGTAATAGTTTACACTGACACTGTTTACAGGATAATTCCTCTGTGATTTGCTGCCTATGGACACCTCTTGCTACTACCTGAAATGTGGAGTTTTGGAGATGAAGATCAGAGAAGGTGGAAAAGTCAAGCAATTGAATGGGGCTGTTGTCATCACAGAGTTAACAGTGTTTGAAAACAAACAAGCACATCTGGCAAACAATGTCAATATGACCTAAAACCCCTTGAATGGGCTCATTGTAGCTACTTACTAAATGTGCCTGGAATTTAATTAATTAGAAAACACAAATTACTCCCCTCTAAATAACAATGTAATAAAGCAACTGCTTAATGAAAAATATCAGTGATCAGTGAGCAATCCACAAGAACAAAAAAAGGGATTGTAATCAAACTAAATTCACAGACTCGTCAGCAAGACAAGAAAGGCTTCATACAAGGTTAGTCAAAAATGAGTCAGATGCAGGGATCTAAATTAAACTAATTATCACAGAGATTATTACATTTATCTTAACAAAACCCTCTCTCTTTTCTCGCCAGTACTCCCTAAAGCTCTATGTACAGCTGGCTGCATCCATCTGCTCAACTACATTTTGTAACATAGGGTAAAAAAATGCAAATCATTAAGCGAGTTTTGTAGCATGACTTAGGCACTCATAATGCCATTACCCATCAGGAGCTGCATTTCTGTTGCGTGACACTGTGTTAGGTTGCAAGCAAAGTGGTCCATTAATTAAGGCCTCCACTCAGCTTCCTTCATATGTGGCACGTGTTGATTGTTCAGTCTTACGTGGTACAACTTTTGGAGCTGGGAAGCTGTAAGGTCCCTAACCCTACCTACAATGAGCTCAGGGAAGAACACATGGGACAAAACTGTGACCCCAAGTGTTGCTGTTTCTAATGTGCAATGCTCCTCTGTTCTTAAAGGAACACTTTTTCTCATCTCCTTTGTCTTTGTGCATCCTAATTAACATGGGAACACATCACATGGTAAATTCTGCTTTGCTGAGCATATACAAATGCAATGTGTGACTACAAACCCACACCACAGCCTGGGCCTGATTCTGGTGAAAGTTCAGAAGGCCATAATTCCTCAAAAATTATCTAAATGGACACCAGACACAACGTGCCCTCCTCCACAGTCCCACGTTTTAGAGATTACGTAGATCAAAATTATCTCAAGTTGAATCCTAAGGAAGAGCTATCTCCAGGCTCCATAGGAGTTGTCCAGTCAACTCATCTGAACAGCGTGGACACATGGAGTTCAGCTGATGTGAACACTTTGCTCTTTACCACACACATACACACGAAAGTATAGGTTTCAATGGGATTTCAACTGAAGTTGGAACAATTCAATATCAGTTTGCACAATCCACCCACAGGACAAAGGTTCCTGGAATTGCTAACAGACAGTCTGGAAGCCAGACTAGCATCTTATTTATGGCTTAAAACACCTGTGGCTACTACTCAACATTTTTCATTTTTGGGGTGATTTTGCACCAGCTGTGTCTAGATCTTCACTTCTTACAATTCCTTAACACTTCCAAACTGGACACCTTGTGGACCATCTATATCCAACAGCACAATAAGGCATTTGTGAGTCTAAGTGGAAAGGTCACCCACTAGGTTTTGCCATTATGTTGTCTGCAGCCCACAATGCACAACTGCTGAAAATTAGTAGGAGATGAATAAAAACACAAGAAAAAGATTTCAGGCTGTGTCATAAGGTTAACATTTACAGAGAAAATGTTCCTGCCTGGAAAAAAACCCAACCCTCAAGCTTTCTAAATAGCGCTTACAACATGCTGAATAAAAACCAAAGGCTGTATCAAAGAAAACAGACACTCTGAAAGATGAGGTTTAGGTAAAGTGCCAGAGTCTGAGGGTACACAACCATGTACCTGGCACTGAACATTGATTACTGCTTTCTGTGTGCAAAACAAGGAACTTTAAATAATTAATGCTAATGGCCATTAGTGCTGCCAGGGGGGCAGGGAATGGGAGGTTGGTGGTGACAAAGCAATCCCCTTGATTCCGTATAATCCATTGCCAAAGAATTTCTAATAAAGGACAAATACTACCTAAAAAAGTAGATGAAAGTCGGTCTTTTTCAGACTGGAGAAAGAACAAGAATAACCTGCAGCAAGAGAGGCAAACCTATGCAGGCATAAGGAGCACCATCATGAAGAAATCCCCTACCTGCCCCTGCCCAACTTTTCTGCTTGTCATCGTGATTTGCATAACAA